CGTAAAAAATAAGTAAAAAAGACATAAAAAAAATGAAAAGACATAAAAACAACGAAAAACAACCTACATTTTTATCATCACAGCAATATATACAAGCGTCAATAACATAAAGTTTTTCATTTGGAAAAAATTGCAGTCAGTATTTAAATGTTAGAAGAAATGGTAAAAGTTGAATCTAAAAAAAAAAAAATTCTGATAATAGTTAATGTATGTTTTAAAAAGATATATATTAAATTGAGAAAAAAATTGGATCAAGAAAGTTTATAAAAAAAGTAATGATAAAAAATTCCCAGAATTTTGTATACACTATAATAAATATATAGCCACAAACAACCAAACATTACATACATGTTTTATGCATATATATATATATATATATATATATATATATATATATATATATATAATATTTATATATATATATATATATATATATATATGTATATATATATATATATATGTATATATATATATATATATATATATATATATATATATATATATATATATATATATATATATATATATATATATATAATATATATATATTCATAATGGTTCAACATAACTGTTTGGTAAAAATTTAAAATGAGAAAAAAAACTTAAAAACACAAAATAACATATCTGTATAATATTTTGCATGCATATATGTATATATAGTTACATTACAAACATTTCAAACAAGTTAATTTACTTAACTAAAGTTTGCATTTTACAACTACACAAATAATACAAATTCACCCATACTATACTTACATAAATTGTGCAAATTTATCCATTCATTTTTGAAGATGTTGCAGGTTTTTAATTACTTTATGAAATTAAGAGGTCTGATGTTGTATTAGATTAAAGATCTTGTCTTTTTTTTTTTGATAGTGATAAACTGTACAATTATTGCTTTTCAATAAACAATGGAAACTCAAAGGTGTTTTAGATTTGAAGCAGGGTAATGATGTTTGCTTTTTAATAACTAGAAGAAAGATTTTTTCAAAAAGACTTTTTTATAGTTTTGTGTCTATTGCATGATCTATTCTGGTCTTCAAAACCTTTTGTAAAACGTCTGATGAATATCTTAGCAAGATGCAACCAACTAATGTTTCACCTTAATCTCAAGTCAAATCTTTGTCAAATTTTATTGTTGTAAGGAACTTACAACATGAATGACACATTTAGATTCATTGATTAGTTGTCAAAGCAAACAAATTGGTTTACTAAAGCAGCAGTAATTTAGCAGACTTGTATCATTTTGTGTGCTTTTCTTTTTCTTTTTTTTAAGTTAAATGCTGGTTATTATAAGAATAAGGCAAAATTACATTTCAACAAATGGTGTTCAACAAGTGTCTAAACGCAGATATCCCTCATTCAAATTGATCATTGACATACAAAAGAAAGAAAGTTTTTAGAAATAGGTATACTTCTGTAATTTTTTTCGATTTCAGTTGGTTGTTGGTAGTAAATTAAATTATGAAATTTTTAATCGTTTTACCCTAAATTCATATATAATATTTTAGCTATAAAAAAATATCAATATTATCTCAATATAATTAAAATCAAATAGCTTTTTTTTCTAGACTATGTTACCATTTTTATATTAATTTTTCAAGGTTACATAATTTTAAACTTCTGCATATGTGCAATTTTAATATAGGTAATATTATTATGTTGCATGAACCTTCATGAAATAGACAACATTTTGTATAATCAATAATATTCACTTCAATGTTATAAAATGACTTTTTTAGTCTAAATTGATAAAGGTCAAACAACCTAAAAAACTAATTATCTACAATATTTAATAACAGTAATGTGATATTCTTGATTGCAATTGTGTCATGAGAAATAACTATATATGTATAATTTTGAATATAGTTAACGTTAAAAAATTATTATAAAAATGGTATAAATTTAAATGGTACAAATGGTATAAATATTGTTGTAAAAATTCCCCCACATCGTAGGGGCATTTTTTATTAAGACAAACTGGATTATTTAAATACAGTGAGCAAACAAAATTTTAATGATGGTTTCACCAAAAAATGATTTAGTTGCTAATACATGTGAATATATTTACTAAAAACTATGTAATTATATATACTGGTATGTACCAAATCAATTCTTACATCTATGTAATGAAGCCCCCCCCCCCCAAAAAAAAAAAGGCAAGGTATAAACAGGAGCATTCACCGACAAGTCATTTAAAAAAGAAGTTAATTCATAATACAAGAAGTTATTTCATAAAAAGATTGATCTAGATCTTGAAAAAACACTGTCAGAACTTATTCGAAATATAGGTTATGGGACAAGCAAAATTACTTTATCTGATAATAATAAACATAACGTTTTTTAATAACCATAATTCAACAAAACTCTCAGTTTATATATGTACACTCCCTGCATGTTTCCACGTTTTAAGTTACTCAATGTATGTACACTTTGCTGCATGTTCTCCTTAATTAAGTTATTCAATTTATGTACACAATGTGGTTATCTGTAAATAAATTAGGGTTACTAACCCTTATTTATTATTATTGCTAAAAGTTCTAAAGTTGATTACTAACAATCAAATTGAGAGCACAACTAGATTATAATTTTTGCATAACATCTGACATTAAATATAATGAACCTGATGGTTTTTAAAGTTGTTTGCAATTTGATTAAGTTAAATGCCCACAACTTGTGCTCAGTGATAATTTAAGAATGGCTCTCAAAAATATAAATTAATTATTTTAAATCTGAAATTTCTTATTTTATTTTCAATATCTATTTCTTTTTATTTCATCAATATGTTGCTAAATAATAATCTAAATCTATTTTTTGTGTTTTTGCTTAGGCAATATTTAAAGCTGTACTAACAAAGGCAAAGAGGCATACCATGTAAATTATTAAATCAATCTGTTTTTCCAAATGAATTGCTCTGAAAAACAATCAATTCAACTAAACTAACCCAACCTCATTAGCAATGAAATAGGTGACACTATAAACATGAAACCATATTCAAAAAAAAATTAATAAAAAATAATTGTTGAATTTTGTTTAAAAACAGTATCACTGATAACATAATTGCAACAAGATACAACCGCAGTTTTTTTGGAGTCATTTCACTGAACATATTATTTGTTGCTGGATACATTAATAGATATAAACCTGAAAATGAAAAAAAGAAGAACTTAAATATGATGCTCTTAAAAGTATTGAATTTATGTACTTTTGAATGAAGAATATTTCCTGATAAGTGCAACAAAACAAGGCTAAAGAGCTATATACCAAATTGAGAGGCTAGTTAAATGACTAATCTAAAGAAAATACTGCGGAATTTTAATAAAAATTTGAAAAACTATTTTGGTTAAAAAGAAATAAGACAGGTTTGGTCGGGAAGCGGGAACGATCGCTCTCTAATACTGAGCACGGAAATTATATTTAGATGGGAAAAACTGGCCAGGTTTTTTAGTCGTTTTGAGAACATTAAAGTTTATTTACGAAACAAAAAAATTTTTTTTTACGGACATACGAAATAAAGTTCTACAGCATTCTGTTTAAATGTTTTAGAAATTGTATTATTCAGGATTTGAGATTTCTAGCATAAATTGTATATTGTTTGTTTACAATAATAAATGTTTTAAATATTAATTACAGGTTTATGCAAAATTATAAAGTGCTTTATAAAGTGCTATATTATAAATTGCAAAATTATAAAGTGCTTTATCCAAAATTATAAATTGTTTTATACAAAATTATAAAGTGCTTTATGCAAAATTTCGAATCGTTTAATAAATCCATTTAAAGCATAAAAAAGTATATGATTTATTTATATATAAGCTCATGTCATTTAACTTCAAAAAAATTATAATAATTTAAGCAACCACTTTATTCAAAAATCATGTTTTGTTTAGCTCCAACCATCGTTCCATTGATCTCCAAAATCCACATAATTCTTTGTTTATTTCTTACATTTAATTAAAAATTATTTCCAATGCATCTCCAATATTAATTTCATTATTTAAAGCTTTTATTCCGCGATATCTTGCCTTTATGCTAAAAAATTCCTCAATGGAATTTAATTGAGAAGACCATGCCGGTAAATATACTCTATTTATTCTTAATTTATTTAAAACTTCTATAATACTTCTTGATCTATGAAATGAAACATTATTTATTATCAGTATATGGTCTGGGTTTTTTCGGAAATAATTACACAGGTTATTTCTTATAAATCTTTCAAAGCTTTCAGCATTATAAGCTCCAGTTCTTAATTCATAAGCAACCACACCAGAAATATTTATTTCACACATCAAACTTCGATTTGTATTTCTGTTTCCGGAAACAACGGAATATGTCTTTTCTTTTTTTTGGAAATACCCAAATCGTCTGCTCAAATGCTGATTAAATCCTGATTCGTCTAAAAAGACCAGTTTATTACTGGAAATACGCGAGATACGGCGGGAATATATGGCAATTTCCTTGATACTGTTGATTGAGATATTACCTTACCAATTGCTGCATTAACTTCATTTACCATTTCATTGAGTCAGTTCATTATTTATTGCTATCGTATTAAATAAAGTATTTTTGATTTCACTGAACAACAAATTTTTGTTTTTGATTGTTTGCTTGTGGCGTTCTCCCTTTGTAGCAAATTTAATGCCGTCTAGATGATTTTTTATGCAGTTTCTTACAGCAATTTGGCTAATGTTTAAAGTTTCGGCAGTGTATTTGGTTGAATGATTATTTATCAAATTAGACATGTTTAAAATTATTTCATGAATTTTCTTAGTTATCGTTATTCGACTTTTTCTTCCCATGTAAGGTTCTAAATTTTTATTTTTTAACATTAATTTAAAAAACTTGCATTAATTAGATAAAAACTTTACTGATTTGGTTTATGTTTTTTAGCCAGTTAGTCATTTAATTTTAATTACAATTTGATATTGTATTTTAATTCCTATACAGCTTTCTCAGATGATTCTAAAAATTACCTGTGCTATTGGTCATTTGGCATTTATTTATTGTTATATAATATATGGCATTTATTTATTGTTAAATAAAGCACTTTATAGTTTTGCATAAAACATTATATAATTTTGCATAAAACAATTTATAATTTTGCATAAAGCACTTTATAATTTTGCATAAAGCACTTTACAATTTTGCATAAAGCACTTTATAATTTTGCATAAC